TGTGATTATGTGCACTACTTCATGTTCTTGAGATGATTCATATGTCATATCTTAGAAGCCGAATCTTTAGAAGCATTCTTATGTATGTATTGCATTAGGATTTTATATATAGGATCATGCATATTTTACTAATTTTGTTTTGCAGCTGTTCACAGGACGTCGGTAAATATGTAAGTTTTTATACTTTAGCATCCTGCTTGTGTGTGTTTTTCTTGTTATGTTTAAATATCCTACCATGTGGCTACTTGCTTACTTGATATAACTGTATAAATGCCAGTGGATAGAGGTTGCATCGTTTAATTTAGAATATTGTTGATTTTTCAAGTTTGTAAACTCAATTTATTTGGGTTGTACATCTTTAAAACTCTTTCAAAATATATAGAATCAAATTATTTCAAAATAAATGACATAATTTATATTTGTATGCTTCACATAGTAATTTTTAGGATTTATTAAATAATCGAAATATAAACATACAAAGTAAATAAAATTCATATCATGGTTTAGTAAATGTCGATCTTTTGATCGGGTGAGCGAGGTGACTCAATTAATAACCTTCCCCTCTCATACCTAAGGTTCTAAACCAAGACAACTTTGGTTATGACAAACAGTGGCCTTGGCACGAGTCATGGGTTTTCTAATTTCCCAAAATATTAGGTGGCGACTCTGAAATCTGATGACGCAGTCCATTTCTGGCAAAAGTTTTTGCAATAAATGGATTTTCTAACAGTTGTTAAATCTGGACTCTAATTTATGTTTCACATTGCACTCGTGAGATTAGATCAAAGAAATCGAGGGTCCAAACTATTTAACGCGCACGAATACTCCCCGGGCATATTACAAGTATAGATAGATTGAAATTGTTGTATTGACAATTAACAATTAAAATTATGCTTTGTTATAAAATAAAATAAAATAATGAGATAGTTCTAATTCTTCACTATTTTAGAATAAAAATATGTGAATTTTTAAAAATTGTTATATTGGTTTTTGAAAGGAAAATAATTAAAGAAATTTTAAGAACTTAATGAGTAAGAAAGAATTATGATGACATGTAATTTAAAATATCAAAAAAAAAAGTTAAAAAATGAATAAAGACTTTAAAAAGATGTGATTACAATTAAAACTAATGTCATATTTATTAATAGGTATAATTTTATTTTGATATCTATTCATACTTTAACGTGCTTATTTAAAACAAAAATAAAATAAATAAAGATATTAATAATTTTGAGTTTTAAAATATGATTTGTAGACTTTCCATAGTAACTTTTGGAATGAATATATTGGATTTTTTTTACAAAAATTGAATATTAGTCATTGAACAAATCTTATAAGATTTAAAATAAAATTTATAAGAGAAAGAAATTAATGATATTGCAACATATGCATTTTAACCATTTTAAATTTTGAAAAAAAAAATAGATTAGGACTTTAAAGTTCAATTATCGTACAACATTTTTATTTATATAATAATATAAATAAGGATAAATAATAGATAGATTAAAATTAATTATAAATATAACTATATTTAAAAGGATATAGTTTTGTATAGTTATATTTTAAATTCCAAAATTTATTTTTTAACTTCTTATATAAAAAAAATTCAAAATTTTAAATTACATATGATTTTTTTCCTAAAAACATATGAACTCGCACTGAAATAGAGAGAGAAGTACCATAAAGGGAGAGAGAAGCAGCATATCTTAAAAATAAATAATTAAATAATTGACTATCACCTTTAATAGTTTTGAAAAAATTGATTAAAATTAAAATTTTCTTTTTATAGCTCTGAAAAACTGTTATATGTTTGAAGTAATGCTATACACTAACTGTCAATTAACACATATCATGATATCAAAAAAATATTAAAAGTAATTTTTTTTTAAAAAAAATAATGATGTACAAACATAAAATCAATACAAAAAACTTATTAATAATGATTTTGTTTGAATTTTGATCTATCAATTTATAATGAGTGACGTGTTTTTTATTATACAAATGATCCTATCATACCATTTTAGTATAAAAATTCTATTAAAACAAAACTAACCAACAAAAAATAGTTATAAACAAAAAAAATAGATAATGGTTGGTAGAGAGGAGGGAGAAATGACACACAAAATATGAAATACAAAAACAAAAAAAATGGTCATACGTAAAAAAGAAGAAGAAAAAATGGTGTATCTAAAGGATAAAAGAATCTGTCTAAAAAATATAATAGATTAAATATAAACTAATTTCCAAATTGTCTCAAAAAAAGAAATTTAAAAAATAATGAGTTTCATCATTCCATAAATATAATATTTATAGGGCGAAAACGATATGAATGACTTGGAAAAAGTATAATGTATTATGCTTAGGATTTTTGGATAGAAAAACGAATTGGGTTAGAAAAAGAGTGTATAAGAATAATTTTTTTTCATATTTTCTTTTCTAAATTATAAATCATAGAATCATTATAAAAATAATAAATTATGTGATTTAAAAAAAAAGTTATATATAGTATAGATATGCTTAAATTTATTTGGGAATAAAATTGTGTTTTAATTATGGAATAGAGAGAGAATCTAGATATAAGATTTTTTTATTTTATGTTAGGCTTAATTTTAGGTTTATATAGATCAGACTAGTTGTGAAAGATATTAATAATATACATTTTATGGGAGGTGAGAGAGTTTAATTTTCATTAGATTTATTTTAGGAGAGAGATGTAAGAACCTGAATTTTTAGACAACTAATTAGTTTGTTAATAATAATATTAAGTTAATCAATAATGATTATTAAACTATTAAATTATAATGTTAATAGCACCATAATTAATACCAATATTAAATTCTTTTAAATAAAATTATTTATCTTGCTATGATTAAATTTTTATATTTAAATACAGTTGTGGAAACTAAATGAGTTAAATAAATAATAACTGAATTAATCAGAGGATAGTAGGGAGCAAAATATCTAGTGACTAGGTTATATATATTCATTGATTTTATTCTTTACACACACGTAGACTAGCAAAAATAAATAAATAAATAGGGGAGGAGACCGGCCATGAGTCGACCCTCATGGGGAAGGATAAATTTTGTCTTATATGGAGATGCCCCTTCAAAAGTGCAGCCACTTTTGCATGCTCGATCAGAATTTTTCTCACCTTTGAGTGTAGGGGTGGGTTATCATAAGTGTGGCATATGGGATAGGCAACCTACCAATGACCATGCATGCATGCATGCTTTCTCTTATCAATCCCTTGTCCAAGTTTTCCCTCCCATTTTAATCTATATAAGAAATACAAAATCCTCCAGCATAGAACTTGCAAATTTCAGCTAGAACAAGATAGAAAGAGAGGGAGAGAAAGCAACAGAGAAAGGAAAGAAGAGAGAAGAAGAAGGTCCTAACACTTGAAAAAAAAATTTAACTCCATTGAGATAGGATACATAGAAATACTCCACTTCTTTATATATATATATATATTAAAAAATGCATGCAAAACAATCTGATATACTTGATAATGCATGATGGAAGTATGAATGAACTCAACAAGAGAAAGGCCTATCTTGCATGTTTTAGATTTAACTTACTTTGCATTATCTCTTGCTATCTTCTCTTTATATATTCTCATTGCCCTATGGTCACACACTGAAAGACCTCTTGAATGCATGAAAATTTTCCCTCCATGAATAATGAAGCCTTGCATGTCCAAGTAAGAAAACCCTCTCAACCCTCTCAGTTTTTGTAATTGTTAAAATTTTCAGATTATATTTATATGATAAAATGACTAACTTATAGATAGAAATTTTTATATATATGTATATAAATTTTGTGATGTATATATCAAATATTTGAAGATATTGATAGTCTTAAAGTCATGGTATTATTGTAAAAATAGGCTTGCAAGTGTAGTTTATACCATTAAAGAGAAGATTGAAGATTTTATTTGGCCCTTAAATCTGCCAGAAAATTTGTACAAATTTTTAGACAATTTTATACTCAAAATTTGAAGATGATTTCTTCTACAAAGTTGTTGAGAATGACGTCTAATTCATCCAGGAATGTTTGCAACAATTATTGAGCTTTATACGAATTTATACAAAATTTTAATTAAATATGAAACTGTAAGATAGATTTTACTATATGTTTGAAAATTTATTAAAGATTCTATATTAATTCAAATTTGGTAATTTCTAACTAAAAGATAAAATTTGAGAAATCTAGTTTCATAATAAATTTTTAGATTATAGAGCTGATCTATGAATTTAAGTATGGAATTAATTTAAGAAAATGTGATAAATCTGTGTCATAACAATTTTTGAGAATTTTACAGAATTATTTATAACTTATTTTTGGAAAATTCTTTCTGAAAAATGACCTAAACATCCTTATTGAATATTCTGTACATTTTCACGAATTTTAGAATTGTATAAATAATTTATTTATAATTTTTATTAGCTAAGATAAAACCTGAAAATTTCTGGACAGGTTTAAGATCATTGCTTCAATTATTTATTTGGATAAAAATTAATTATTGTGTTGATCTAATTCATTAAATATTGTAAATTAGTAATCCATGTATGGGTGTATTGTGGTTTATTGAATATTGTACTAGTTTAATTTTGTAAATTAAAAATCCATGCATGTATATGATTATGATTTATTTATTTTTATATCCAAATTATTATTTCATACCATGTGTACGGGGAGCAAATATTCCGGCGTGCCCGTATTCCTTTCTTCCGAGCTCCGTCGATATCCGATCACCTGCGAGCAAATAACGGTGAGCTACCCGGCGGTGTGTGGCCGGAAACACCCTCCGACGGTCAAATTAGCACACACCTTAGAGGGAATAGAGAGAAGGGAGAGAGTGTTTGAGTGTAAGAGTTCCTTACAGAGATGTTCGTCTGTCGCGTATGGGGGCCGCAGACATGCTTATATACCTTCTGAGCCCCATATCCACTCCCTGTCATCTCCTGACACGTGGCTCTGCTATCCCATCTGTCAGCATAAACCATGCCATTCATCACCTGCCCTCAACTGCCTGTCAGCACAGCTGGAGCTCGGCAGCCGAGCTGCCCTACCTCGGTCATACCATGCTTCATACCTCAAGCGCCTAACCGGATAAACATACGGAGGACCGGGCTAAGCGGCATCCCGGCCGAGCCTAGCCCGGATACTTACTTCGATCGGCCTTCCTGCCGACCATACAATCTCCTCGGCTGACCACGCCTTTCCGGGCACCGGCCACTCAACTTCCTCGGTTGTCCATGCCTTCCTGGGCGTCGGTCACTCGGTCAATCCGGCTTTGACCATCCTCGGACCGGGCACCCTGGTCCGACCGAGCACTGCCTTACCGAGCAGTTTCTGTCCGGTCCGGGGTGACACTCGGCCCGTACTCTGCCCGGCCCAAATTCTGGCAGCCCACTTTGGGTAAAAAGTTGATCGTCTCGGACCTATGCACCGTTGGGCCCTCAACTTGCTCGGTCGATATCTCGGCCCAACTCCAGATCATAAATCACCCTCTCAATTGCCCCTTAATCTCGTCCGCGAAAGCGTGACTGGGATTACTCACTTCGACCGAGATAACATTTCTCCGGTCGTCAAGTCGCCAAGCCTCCACCGAGCTAATCTGCTATCCTTCCCCGGTCATGTTCCTCGGCTTACAGCCTTTTCGTCGAAAGTAGCTCGGCTGGCTCTTCGTTTCTTCATCCCGTCGCTTCAATCCTGACGTAGCCATAAATGGGGACACGTGGCGAGCTCCCATTGGTCATCGAGAAGCCAACCCGCCGTTCTTGTCAGATTTTGAATTTTGGCGGCCTTTCACTCTTACATACACATGGCCTCCCTATGCCATTCCTTCATACTGCCTTTCTACTATCTGACGATCCAGAGCTCAAGCCCTCTCCTCTATCTCGACTGCCATTTCTCATTCTTGGCAGAACAGCCCCCATCCTCCAAAGGTAAGGTTTTCGATCCCCCTAGTTGCTATTTTCTTTCATATTACACACACTAGGGTACAAAAACATAGCTATTAGGGCATAGGTCGTAGAATCCGCATTAAACCTTCCACTGTTCTTGGTGTTCTTCGTTTTTCTGAAGAACACTGAAGAACTGGGGTGAACCGGGCTCTGGGCCTTCTTTTGATCCAAAAAAAACCGACCAAACCGGGCAAACAACATGTTTGTTTCAACCAAAGCAAAAACCGAGATGACAAAAGGACTTGGCCGTTCAACCGGGCTAACATCTGTCCGATTGGGCGACGGGGCTCCTTAGAATAGACAACCGAGGTGGTTTGGCACCCTTAATGACCGAGGTAAAAACCAGCACCTTTCGCGCGACCGCGCTTAACACTTGCCATCCTTTTCCTGCAGAGTCCAAGGGGACCACTGTCATTCCTGAGGCTCTCAGGACCGGGCAACATCCAATACACAGAGCCAAACCCCTCAGCCGGGATACCCTAAGCCGGCCAAAAATGGGGAAATTCCGCTTCCTAGTGGATACTCCGGCTGCGCTGGCTACGTTCAGGGAGGAGTACGGCGTCCCGGCCGATGTCCACCTGCAGCTCGCAGAAGAGGAGACCACACCTTGGGGTAGGGAGGAGTGCCCCTTCACCGTGCTATCCATCGTTGAAGGGGGTCTTCGTTTCCCGCTCAACCCTCTCATAACCGAGTTCCTCCGCCGCACCGGGCTGGCACCCACACAGGTGTCCACCAACACTTACAGAATAATCAACGGCGTTCACGAATTGAACCAACGGTTAGGCACCAACTTAGGCCTAGCCGAGATATTAAGGCAATACACTATGGGCCACACCGGTGACGGCCTGGCTTACTACTTGAAAATAAGACCGGGCAAGGAAAAAATCGTAACCGGCACCCCGGACAAAGATATGCACGATGATGATTTCTTCTGGGTGTCCGGCAACTACGAAACAGCCGAGGTGCCGGGCTGGTTCATAAGCAAGGACTTCGGTTCTTCATGTAAGCCACTCAAACTTGCTCGGTTAACTTTATTCTTTAGTTTTACTAACCGGTTTCCCTGTTTCTTTTGCAGCTATCCAAGCCTTGCAAGCCAACTACCAATTCCCCAACGTCGAGGCAATTCGGGCCGTGCTGAGGTACCGTCACCGAGACTGCAACGAATTGCTCGGCTACACACCCACCTACAGATATTCTGCACCGCGCCGGAGTAGAGTAACTGACTTCCTCAGAGCTCCTTCGCCACCTCCAGATCCAACCCTACCAGACGTCCCATTAATCCGGTTAACCGACGAGCAAGAGATGGCCAAAAGATCTCGGATCAAAAACCTTCTAACCGCGACCTCAGCCGAGATACCGAGCGTCACCACCCGTTCCCCGGCTGCCGGTCAATCGAGTGCAGCCGTGGTAGCCCTTGCTTCTCCAGCTCCAGCTGCCGGGCAATCTGCCAGAGAAGCGCGCCGGGCTGGAAAAAGACCAAGGGCAGATCCCTCCGCCGAGCTCGTCGCCGAGCTGACAACCGAACATCCAGCTGAAACTCCTGCTCCCGTGCCCGCTTGGCGTCCTCAGCTGAAGCACCGGGGACAGGACATCCCGGCGACTGCTTCGATCAAGGCTGACAAAGAACACTTGCTCGCCTTCGATCTTTCCAAAGCATTTCTCCTACCGGGCGACGTGGTAGGCAGTGACCACGTCCCTGACACCCGGCTGGTAAAATCTTCCGTGAAGTCCATGGCCAGGGTAAGTCGGCGTTCTTTTTAACATTTCACAAGTGTTTGCTCGGTCCTTCTTGCTCGGTCCCCTTTCTGATGTACTTTGCTTCTTTGTGCAGGCCATTCAGAAACAACATTTGGTCTTGGAGCGCATCCACCGGCTTAGGCAGAAAGCCAATGACACTGCCAGCCAGGTTGAAAGCCTTCAAGCCGAGCTCGGCCGGGCTAAAGCTTCTCTCGAGATGGCCAACCATGATAATAACAGGCTGCTCGGTCAACTGAATGCAGCCGAGAAAAAACAAAACGAGCTCCAGGCCGAGGTTGACACTGTGAAGAAGGCGAAGAGGAAGGCTTGCCGGGCTGCCAACAACGCGGGTTTCAACGAGGCCGAGAAGAACTATAAGAAGCAGGTCTTTGCCACACAAGACATCTACTTCAAGGCCGGTTGGAAGTCCGCCTGCGAACACCTCGACCAAGGCTCTGACACCGACGTATTTGCCAACCCTCCTCCAGCTTCTCTACCGGTCTACCTTGTGCCATATGCAAACGATGTTTTCAGCGCTTTACAGGCTGAGGCCGAGGAGGGACTTGAAGATGGGGACGGGGAGACGGATTCTGAGGAAGAAGAGGCCGAGGTGCCTAAGCAGCCCGGCAACGATGAGCCCGGCGCCCAAGAAGCAAGCCAAGCTGTTGACCTTGATGCTGATGCTGCCGAGGACGCGTTCACCAATCTTTCCCCCCTAGTTTAGGTTTCATTTTCTTTGTTTTTACATTTTTGCTTCCAACTCTTTTAATGTAACCGGGCTCTGTCCCCTCCGTTTGTAATGAATTTCTTATCAATGAAAAATTCGAATTTTTGCAAGTGTATGCACGGTTGTAATCAGTTCTGTCTTCAGCAAACATCTCGGTATGACTCATCGAACCGGAATACATAGCACTGTCTAAGCACTTCAGCAGTACAAGACAAATTCATGAACCGAAATAGCCGCTTCGGCTGTAACTAAGTCGAACAAATCAACACTTCCAACCGGAGTACATCATCTCGGTTGGGAATCCAAAGTTGGACAAGACACCAACTCTTCCAACCGGAGTACATCATCTCGGTTGAGAATCCTAAGTTGGACAAAACACCAACTCTTCCAACCGGAATACACCATCTCGGTTGGGAATCCTAAGTTGGACAAAACACCAACTCTACCCTTCTGAGCACTGACGTGCTTTTTGTGCATGTCAATGAAGGGCGTCAGTGTACTGTTCTACATTTTTTTTTTCACCATAAAGTACACTGTTGGAAGGGGACAAAACCAAGGGCATTTTTATCTTTTTACCCTCTGTCTATTCAGCCTTTTTTTTTTTGGCCCAAACATGTGAATAGTGTTAACTTTTTTGCTTTTTTAGTGACTTTTTGTCTTTTTTAGGGATGCCAAACACCTACTTATTTGGGTCATATCAATCAACATCTCCTCTCTACTTTTCTGCCCGCTTTCTCTATTTTTCTACACATTTTTTTTTATAAAAATCAAAAAGTGCATTTATTTAAAATATCTCAAATCATCCCTTAATATTTTGAAATACTTACTCTAAAATAAAAGTCACTTTGATATAATATATAGCATAGATAGATAGATTTTAGGGGATAGATTTTAGGAACTTGTAATTCAATTTTTTTTTTTAAATTTATAATTACTTTGTTAGCCAATATTATTATTTTTAAATATTTTTAAAATTACAAAAATTAGCAATTTTAGCTTCTTTTTTTTAAAAAAAAAAATCTATAGCTACTTTGTTAGCCAATAGTACTATTTTCAAATATTTTTAAAATTACAAAAATTAGCAATTGTGGTTTTACGTTTTTTTTTAATCTATAATGTTTTTTTGAAATATATAATTATTTTGTTATGAGATGAGATTTGTGGTTTTTTTTTTTTAATGTATAATTTTTTTTAATGTATAGTTACTTTGTTAGGAGATGAGATTTAGGAAAGAGATAAATATTGGGGGCAAGAGATTTTAGGAACTTGTCATTCAAAATTTTAGGTTGTTTTTTGTTTTTTTTTTAATCTATAATTACTTTATTAGCCAATAGAATTATTTTTAAAATTATAAAAATTAGCATTTGTAGAATGAGACTTTTGAGCTCTCACAAACTGTCACGACCCAAACCCACCCCCATAGGTTTAGCGTTATAATCGGCCAGTAATCATTGGATTACCAAGGCCTCTGAACAAAATAACATATGATTAGGGGCTGCAAAAGCATATATATAAAAACATACATAGTCCATCGAGCTGTACAAACATACATGAGACAGATAATCTTAAATTTTATAAGCATACATATGACGTCATAAAAGTACAGTAATTACACGTCACCCCATGTACATATAAACAGAAATTTTTGTTCGTAAACCAAAAGAAACAAAGTCTTAAACATTCACAAAACATGGCCACAAGACTTGACTTAATCCAGAACCTCCTCGGGAGACACAAAAGGGTGGCTGACAAACACAAAACTCTTCAAGCATCATCTTAAGCCTAGTCGCGCGCTTGCTCACCTACATACATAATAATAAATAGTGAGCGGAAGCCTAGTGAATAATAACAAAGTAAAGGGTTTATGAATGATGTCCCAAAACCAATTCAGAAACCAGAGTTCATATCAAGACAAATTCATATTCGTATTCTTGTTCAAAACATATATACAGAAATCAAAGTTCATGCTTAATTATCCTTACATCCATTAGCGCTAACAGATCATATATAGAGCATCATAGATCATACTTGTCAGTTCCATAGAAGAACCTACGGCCGGGTACGGATAACTTGTTAGTTTCATAAAGGAACCTCCAAACTGGGAACGGATAGCTTGTCAGTTCCATATAGGAACCTCCAGCAGGGTGCAAATAACTTGTCAGTTTCATAAAGAACCTCCGGTCCGGGTACAGATAGCATACTTGAATCACAGCATTAATGCCACAAATATTTGTCTGAGTTGGACAATCATTCATAGTACAAAACATAGCATTTCATAGAATAGATCGTATTCCATATACAGAAAATAATTTAACTTGAACATAACTTTACTAAGTTATTACTTACAGATGGCTCCACTTGCAGAACAGACAAATCAGATAACTTATGCCGTGTGACCTACACACATATATAACAGAAACACATAATGAAATACACACTCGATTGGTACTTAACTTCTTTCGCCTTATTGTAGTGTTTTCTTGGTCTAAACCTCTTATTGTGTCTTAATCATGGCCTAGGAATGCCTAGGATGCAATGAAGATGTTAAAATATCTTTGGAAACACTTAACAAAATTTACTGAAAATAGGGGTCCCGCTCGAGCGCAACTTTCTTCGCTTGAGCGGACATACAAAAATGTGAGTGGTCACTCGAGCGTAACTTTTATTGCTCGAGCGGTCTGTAAACTCTGCAAAAGTACTGATTGTGTGATTTTTTCACTTGACGGCCGCTCGATGGTCGCTCGAGCGTGAGACTCAGTTCCTCGCTCGAGCACAACTCTTGTCGCTCGAGCGATCTGCAAAAATATGAAACTTCTAGGAGCTTGCAATTCACACTTGAGTGAACTTCTAGTCACTCGAGCAGAAGTGCAAGATCGTAGAATGGTCGCTTGAGCGGAGAAGCAGAATCTGGAATTTCCAAATTGCACTCCCTAGCTCAAAACTCGAATTCAACCCTTCAAAACACAACCCTTGGGCCCTAAAACTTGAGAAAACGAGTCTAAACTTGGAAAGCATAAAGAATTAAAGATCATTTCATGAAATCAAGGCCCATAAGCTTGTCAATTGAGCAAACTCAAACTTGACTTGTGAAAACACAACATGAATATGACATGCATGGAGTGATTTGAGCTCCAAGTTTCTATATCATGAGCAAATGAGATGTTTAGGTCAAAAACATGTTGGGTTCCTTGAACAAAACTCAAGTATGGACATGCATGTGGAAATTCTTGAAAATCAACTTACCAAATTATTAGAATTATGCATGCATGCATGATACACTCCCAAAGTCAACTATATAACCTCATTCTTGTCTTTCTGTAGGATTTCTTTTGAAATCATGAGTTGGCTAACTTAATTACATTATCAAAAGCTTGGGTTCTCACCTAAACTTCTCAATTGAGCTTTAAGTAGACCAATTCTTGAGTGATCAAGCTAATCCTCCTAAGTTCTCTTTAATTCTCTAGCAAATCATTTTTGGTTGAACTCAAGTTTTGCTCTCTCTCTCTCTCTCTCTCTCTCTCTCACATGTAGTCTTCAAAGATGAGGGATCGAGGGTAAAAAGTGTATTAAAGGTGTTGGAAGTGGCCTTATATAGACTAAATTAGGAAGGTTAATTAATTTAAGTTAAGGATAACTAATTGAGATCATTTATTCTAATCATTTGGTTCCGAATCAAATGTCAATTCAACCTACCATAAATTCCTAAAAATTCCAATTAACAGGTAAGTCAAGTTAATTTCTTGATCAGATGCTAATAAGGTCATCAATTCGCAGAACAAAACAATAACATGAACAGATCTTTCTACGATGAACATATATGAATACAAATAATAATTCAACACACACGCAATTAATGAAAAATTCCACTTTAATTACTTATTAAGCCTTCTTAATCATGGATTATATGTTAATTATGGGTCGGGGTTGTTACAGTCTCCCCTCCTTAAAGAGTTTGGTCCTTCAAACTCGAATTACCTTCATTCTGGAGAAACACCGGGTCCAAAGGAAACAAGTTAGGGTACCTCTTCATCATATCTTCTTCTTTCTCCCAAGTTGCATAAGTTCCTTCGTGAGTTTGCCAATCAACTTTTACCAACTGTATTTCTTTATTTCTCAATCTTTTGATCAGGCGATTCACACAATCTGAATAGCTCGTTCTTCGTAAGTGTAGTCATCTTTCAAAAGCACATATGTCGGCTCAATAACATGGTACGGATCACGCAAATATTCTCGGAGCATGGAGACATGAAAAATATTGTGTATGTGTTCCATCATCGAAGTTAAGGCTACCCAATACATCATCAGGTTGATTTTCTCAAGGATCTCATAAGGCTGAACATATCTCGGTTCTAGCTTGCCCTTCACACCAAATCGTGTTTGGCCCTTCATCGGAGTTACTTTGATAAACACGTGATTCCCGACTTTATTTTCTCTATCTCTTCTTCGAACATCAGCATAACTCTTTTGTCAGCTCTGTACAGTTTTCAGACATTGTTGGATCAGTTTCATTTTCTCAGTTGTTTCTTGCACAAGCTCCAGTCCCAGCAATAGTCTATCACCTACTTCAGCCTAACAAATTCGTGATCGACGCTTTCTACCATATAAAGCTTCATAAGGAGCCATACAGATACTAGAATAGTAGCTATTGTTCTATACAAATTCAGCTAATTGTAAATAGGTTTCCCAGCTACCTTGAAAGTCCAAGGCACACATCCGTAATAAGTCTTCCAACGTCTAAATGGTTCATTCAGATTGGCCATCTGTCTGTGGGTGATAAGCACTGCTTAGTTTCAATTTAGTCCTCAGAGCTCGCTGCAGACTCTGCTAAAATCTTGAAATGAACTTAGGATCTCTGTCAGATACAATAGATACTGTCACGGAATGTAATCTCATAATCTCATTAACATACAAGTTAGCCAATTTATCCGTATTATACAAAGATTTGACAGGTAAAAAATGTGCAAATTTAGTCAAATAATCAACAATTACCCAGATAGAGTCCATACCTCAAGAAAAGTGAGGTAATCCCACAATGAAGTCCATCGTGACATGTTCCCACTTCCATTCAAGTATTGGAAGCGGCTGTAGCAATCCGACAGGTCGTTGATGTTTAGCTTTAACTTGTTGGCAATGTAAGCATCGAGCCACAAAATCTACAATGCTTTTCTTCATTCCTGGCCACCAAAATTTTGTTTCAAATCACGATATATCTTTGTATTTCCCGAATGCATAGCAAATTTTGAATTGTGAGCCTCGGTCATATCGCATTTCCTTAAATCAGAACAATCCGGTACACAAAGTCTATTCTGAAATTTTAACACATCATTTTCAATCACGAACCCAGGCCTCGGTTTTGAGTCAATTTCATCAA